CTTATAGGGGTGAATGATATTGGAAAATGTTGAGAAGCACTGTTCTAGAGCACTACTATGGGTTCATATATGGAACACACTATTTTGCTTTCTAATGCGTATCTAAGAATAAATTTGGCACTTAGAGAGTTGCTTATGTACAAAAGTGGCAGTGAAAGAGGTAATGTTATTGGTTAAAATGTTTGATATATATATATATATTTCATTTTCTGTTATATTTTATGTAGTACATATTATGAGGATTTGTTCTTGAACTATTAGTTTAGTTTATGGATTAATTTAAATCCCCTAAGCTATGGCCGTATACATAATCTATTTTATATGTAGGTAGCTAGGTTTGATGAGAATTTAATGATAATTTATTCAACAATGTGAAAACAATATAGATATATAAAATTAGCTATAACTTAAAATTCGAGCACAAAATGCATGATAAACTGATATATGTATATTTAATTGTGATCAATCGCTGTCAATTTTTTAGGAGAAAATTAACTGTTACGTTAAACAAATTAGCAAAAAACGTTAAAAGTAGCATAGTGAATCATAAGGCTTATAGTACTGTGTGTTTCATATCGGATTCGTAACTAAAAGCACATGTTTAACTTTATTCAATTGAATTGAAATACAGCAGGATATTTTGGTAAGATTGCACAACGGTGGCTAAGCCTTTAAATGTCTTTTCTCGCATTAACGTGAGATAATTAATTATGAGGAAAATTGTAGAATGGTATTTTGAACACGTTGATAGATGCACATTATATAACGACAATCGTCACTCATCACCAGTATATTTCTTGTTGAAAATACTAAAATCCTAATAGATGCAAACCAACTGAAGAAATAAAAACACATTTTAACAAATTATTGTCCAGATAATGAGTGATTTTCATTCATTCAATAGTTTTGATTATCATTTTATTATGTTTCAAGCTTTGCTTTAGTTGAGTTTTTGAACCACACACGCTCTGTATTTTCGAAAAAGGAACATAAATATTACCGATATTACGTTAAATTAAATGTTAAACACGAATTTAAAATCAACTGTTTACCGTTTATAAAATTTCGTTATTAATTTTGCAGACCTTTAACACTTTAAAAAAAAATTAAAGATCTGTTTGTCTGTAAAGCTCACATTTCTCTTCCTCTAGACCACAACATCATTAAGTATTTCATTAAGATTACTAGTTATCTGTTAGAGCTAGGAACATTATATAGATCATTATTACGTTTAGGTCATGATTAACTACCCACCTTTTCTTCCTCCGTAGTATCTTTAGGTAAGCACATAAGAGCATTTTGAGCACGTGCTAGTCGCCCAGAGATTGATAATAACAAGTTAATAATTTTTTCCATTTCTTCCACGTGTAATTTGTACTTATCTATTTCGTTAGGTTTAGCAAGTATCTCAATACGTGATGTTATGCCCTTTCCCAGGCTTTCATTCTGTGCCATTTCTTCTCGAATAACAGTCTGTTCTGCTCGAAGGATTTGCAATTTACGGTCAATACTTGGTATCAGCTCTTCCTTCATAAATAAAATAAAACAATAAAGTGACTCGTATGTCGAAATTACATTTCTAATTCAAATTTTTCCATTGGACAAAGATGATATTAAACAGTTAAACGTGAATACATATGTTTAACCAAAGTTGAATTTTCCTTTTGTTGTAATAGCTGTACTCACAAAAGCTAACAAAATATTTACATCATTAATACAATTACCTGCTACTTTTATCTTTGGCATTGTAGGTTAAAAAACATGGTTTCTTGCACAATTCTTATGACATTTTACAAAAGTTATTTTTAGAAAAATCTTTCCATTTTAATGTAAATAAAAACGGTCTATTTATAGTATATTTATATGTATAGTTTTAGAGAACCAACAGCTGTTGTAAACTATTGGTCCTCTAACACTATACATACTCTCTGTCTTTCTTTCATCACTAAGTCTATATTATGTTTTGAATCAATAATTGATATCTTAAGACTGATAGTAGACATTCGAACACAAACTACAGCAAAACATGACAGTTATGCGTTATGTATCCTACAGTTTATTTTATTCTTTTTATTCTATTCTATTTGACTAAAATTACTTGTTCTTAGGACTCTAACGCTTCTATTCTGCGGCATTGTTAGAAAAAACGATTCAAAAAGTACAAATATTTTGTTTGTTTGCACTTAGGCGCAAGGCTACACGATTGGTTATATGCGATGTGTCTACCACAGGTATTGAACCTTGATTTTTAGTATTATAAGCCCTCAAGTCTACTGGTGAGCCACTGGGGGTCGAAGGTACGACTAACCAGATACATTTATCATTGTTTTCATACCTTTTTCTCTGTAATGTCTGCCTGTGAGGCCAACTGATGATAATCCAGATTTTTTCCATATCTGTTCAATAACTTAGCTTTTGGTTCCGACGTTGTAAAGTAAGCACTGTCTGGAGGGAGTTCCTTTTCTTCCCTAGGAAGGAAAAACAGTACGACATTTAGATTAACTATTATATTTCAGAAAAAACGGTCAGGTATAAATGTGGCAAATTGCGACTCCAAAAATATTTATAATCTTAGTTAAATTATAATGTAGCGTACGACTGTCGCTACCAGAAAACATAACTTTTTTCTACTCTAAACAACAGATTGGTAAAATAAGTACATACGTCATTGCCAGCTCAATGATTACCAGTACTGTGTTTAAGCAATAAATATTTCCAAAATATTTCTTACGAAAGACAGTTTAAACCATTTTTGCTTATATTATATTCTGTACAGGCTTCGTTTCAAATAGTCCACAAAGATTTCGCGTTCTTTTTAGAAACTGGTAAATAAGTTTTCCATACAGGAACAAAATCATTGTATAAGTTTACATAATGAATAATCAATTTTAAAATGAATATTTACTGATTAAAGGAACAGTCTATTCAACTCAAAGTAATTTTACTTTCTTGCAACACGCTCTAATTTCTAAGTCAGAATGAAAATTGTAAGCTTTAGGTAATTAATATGACAAAATAATTACAATAAACATCTTCATATTGATCTTAAATATTGAGTGGCTACTTTATTAAGATCTTCAACGCACTTTTGAATAACACACTCATTTTATTTATATATACAGAACAATGTGATCATTTAACGTGGCTGCTTCAGTTCTATAAGTACAAAGATCTAGTCATCTTATGCTTAGTCTTCGAGACAACAATTAGATCAAGAACCTCTCCGACATACATAGAGACATTACAATGAATGTTCGTCATTCATAAATATTGTTATCAAAAGTCAGCCTCTTTAACAGGCTATTCACAAAGGTCAACAATGTCAATCGAAAGATAAACATCTGTTTTTCAAAAAAAATATATAAATAAAATGTAGCTTCTAAGCCGATGGTGACTGTCCGAGCGAAAATACAATTGGTCGAACTTGTGTCCTAAATCTTTGATTCCTTCAAAAGTAGCCTGGTGGTTAGGGCGCTCGACTTGAAACCTGTGGGTCGTGAGTTGCAATCTCGTCACCTACCATGCTTGCCTTTTCAGCCATGGGGACGATATATTGTGCCAATCAATTCCACTTTTCGTTAGTAAAGAGCAACCCAAAAGTTCGTGATGGGTGGTGGTGACTCGCTGCCTTCCCTCTAGTCTGTAACTTCTAAATTTGGGGCGGCTAGCGCAAATAGCCCTCGAGTAGCTTTGTGCGAAATTGAACAAACAAACATTTAAAAGTGGTTAGGATTCGAGTATAATCAACCATGTCATTACACAAAATGTTCCATGGCAATCCACAACCAGTCTCAAAACTGTTTCTCTTAGCTGTAAAAATAAAATAATTGCTTCAATGGTGCTTGGAACATAAACTACAGACAATGAATGACGAGAAGGGAATGATGAGGCCTAATGAGCTGCGTTTTTCCCTTTTCTGCTTACAGTAAGATAGAAGTATCGGTTCAACCACATGAAAGATTTCACTGCTTGTTGTATTCGAAAGTACAAGCTACTGGAGTTGATGTAGTGGTGTGAGGAACTTTCCAATATCAGAGCCTGGACTCTATATTTTCTTTAGAAGAGCTAATAACACTCAAAGAGTACCTGAACATTTTTGCTGTCTACGTCCATGCTGCATTTCTACCCTTACTGACATAACGATAATACAATGATCTCCGGCACTCATATTGTCCGAATTGACCCGAAAAGTATGACTGTGGTTTCAGTTATATTGCTGTATAACCACAGATATCAATTCTCATTGAGTGTCTTTACGATGAACTTAAACATTGCGTTTGCTACTGCTGTCTTCTACTGGTACTTGCGAACCAATTATAAAACACACCCCTTAGAGAATGAGCCATAATCGAATAAAACACCATTCGACATTTTTTAAAATCTATGTCAAAAACGACTTGAGGCTATTATCGAGGTGAAGGCCGAGCTATCTCAATATTATATGGACGGTCCCCAATAAAAACAAATGGCCAGCTAATATACTCTGAGCTTTGAAAATAGTCTAAGATTGTTATTACTGAACATTATAAAAATGTTTTTACTTTATATTAGTTATATAAATAAGAGGATGGAGAGTTATTCTAGGAAAAATAGTTTAATCATGCAGTTATACTTTGTATAGTGTATTAAGAATGCTGCAGTTTTAATAATAAGGATCTGCATTACCGAATGCAGGAAAGGAACCACAAATGATTGCTTCTGTATGTCATAGAAAACTGCCTTTTTTTTCACTGCAAATAAAAATGTTTTTCAAGCAATTTGACTTTCTTGTATTTGAAAGATGGTTTATTTAAAGTTTTTTTTTTTTTTGCTTCCTGATTATTCAATCATAAAAAAGTTATCGGAACCTTTTCTGAGACAATACTAAGTTCAAATAGGTACAGGTT